GCACTGTATGTATGAAAACCTAAGTAGTCAGTGTAGTAGTGAGCCCTGAGTAGTATACACTTATATACACTATCATTATTATTATCATTATTATTATTAGTCACATTTCTATTACTATTACTGATACCATTATTGCTTTTATTATAATTATTATTCTATTATATCCACTACTTCTGTTATTATTAATAGTCATAATTTTTCCATCATGCATTGAATGTGTTGTAACTCTGTTATGCTGTTCATTCTGTACACATGACATCTATCACACTTCTGTCCATCCTGATAGAGGATCCTCCTCTGTTGCTCTCACTAAGGTCTCTCCCTCTTTTCTCCTGTTCTGATGTGAGGGTCCTGGGACAGAGGATGTCGTATGTGTACAGATTGTAAAGCCCTCTGAGGCAAATTTATGATTGGGGATTTTGGGCTTTACAGAACAAATTGAATTGGATTGAATTGAATTGAATACAGCCTAAAAGCTGAAAACCAGGGTGAAAAAGTCCAATCACCCTGAAACAATAAATGTGAGGTGGGGGGGGGGATGACAAAAATAGGACTTTGAGAAGTGAGGGGGACATGTGTCCTAAGTGGAAATGATCACAGAGTTACTGTAAATCGACACCTCTCTAAAACAGGTTCAACAAAAATACTGAACATTATAACATTATAAGGACTGCATTTGTTTTAGGTGTACCTAATAAACTGGCAACTGACTGTAAATGCCTTTTCTGTCCAAGATAGACATTTATTTAATGACCACGAGTAAAGTTATTAAAGGTTTTCAATGTAAATGTAAATGTATCTATCGATCTGACTTTGTGTCGATATATAAAAGATTGTAAAATCCTACAAGACCATAGAGGCCCTAATAAAACGTGTGTTTCAGTGACGTTGTAGTGGACCCGATATAGCAGAGCACAGTGCTGCAGACTGTTCTCAACAGACCAACACAGCACATTAGCTCTGCACTTGTGTGTGCGCGTGTGTGTGTGTGTATGTGTGTGTGTGTGAGAGAGAGAGAGAGAGAGAGAGAGAGAGAAAGCAGTGGAGATGATAAGGGGAGGTGGAGATAGAAATGGAGAGAATACACTGTGTGCGAGAAAAGGAGAAAGAGAGAGAGAGAGAAAATTGGGAGAGCACTAATGATCTGACGGTCTGCAGTCTTTTCCCCCCATTTTGTGGAGCTCAGCAAATACTCGTTCTGCTTCTGGCCTCTCTCTCTCTCCCCCTCTCTCGCTGGTGGTGGAGGGACTATCTTGGAAAGGAAAAGAGAGAGAGAGAGAGAGAGAGCGAGAGAGAGAGAGAGAGAGGGAGAGGGGGAATGGGCGGTGGGCGTGAAACACTCTATCATACCCCTCCTGCTTCGCTCTAATTGAGCCAAGTGTTTTAGTAGATTGAAAGACAGTGTGGAGGAAGGGAGTGATGCAGCAGAGAGAGGGAGGGAGGAAGGGGGAGGGAGAGGACACATGAGAGCTTTGGTAAAGGAGACTCATTTCCATGCAGGACACTGAACCGGATCATGAATAGAGTGTTGAGGTACGGGCACTCCTTTTTGAGATCTTTTATTTTAACATGGACGTTTATCTGACTGCATACAGAATGTGTGACGGATGTTTTTATCACCAAACATATGAAAAAACAAAATGCTGACACATAATCATGTCCATAATTTAAGACACGGGAAGAAACTGTTTTACAGAATGAGCAACTTTAAGTGCATTTTAATGTTAATACGTCTTCACATATATGGTCAAATGTATCCATACGTTTCCTGTACCGGCTCATATGGCCTGTGTGGGGCTTCACCAGCTATTCATAAATCCACCACTAAGTTTAAACATAAAGGTTGCACCAGTCAAGCTTCAGAAACGTCTCAGCTAGTACAGACTTTAGTGATGTGTACATCTGTTGCTAGGAAACATCTATGGCACTGGCCAATCAACTATGTGACCTAAACAGGAAGTCACACCGGCATCAGAAGCTAAAGATAACTTCAGAATACAGTTCAGAATGAGTGGGAAATATCTGATTTTGCTAACCTAATGTTTCGTAATTTGAGGTCTGTTGTCTTATTTTTCTGAAATGTCATTTTCAAGATTTTCATCATGATCACAGAACATTTATGAAGTTTCAGGTCATGTATGCTGACCGTATTCCGTATTGTGTCTTTTACTCTCCTTATTAAACGGGTCATGTATTAGCAGGCTAACGTTAGCTTTCTCACTTGGTTCAGGTGCTTCACAACAGTAACACCCAGCAGTTAGTGGGTGCAGATGTTTAGTAGCAGCTAATCTCTATGTAATCTCTACTAGTTGTGTAAAGCCTTTCGTGTCTCGAGAGGGAGATGTGTGGGGTCTGAGAAATGTCCTTAAGTGATGTCACTTGAGTCAGTGTCTGTTGGGAAAGAAGACTTCAAGTTTGAAAACGGAAAAAGTCTGGAAGTAAGGAGTTCATTGGATAAATTGGCCACAACTGACATAACACGAATGAGTCTGTAGGTGAAGCTACTGACAATGTTATCGTTTTTGATCATTTTTAAGTCTTTACTTATCATGAACAATGATGCTGTTAGGTAATGTTTGATGTAAAATCAGTGATCATGTTTAAAGTTTAAAAAAAGTTCACGGTTCAAGTAACAAAAAATGAAGAAATGAACTTGTGTTTTTGTGTCTACTGACACATTTTCATCAGGAGGCTTCCCTTCCACAAGCGATGTACACTGACACTGACCGGATTGGGAAGAGGAGATGGTGCCAAAGTCAAACTCAGATCATTTCTGGGCAAAAATCCATCAAATATTAATTGGCAGACTGACACCACTAAAATTCCGTGTGGACAGAAAGTGATGGAAATGGATCCTGGACTGCTTGCTCTCTTTGGTTTGTTGGGCACTGTGCATCCAGGGTCAGATTGACGGGTCAGAACTGTGGAAGACGTGATCCGAACCCAGCGGCAACCTCCGGTGCTGCATAAGGAAGCAAATGCAGAGGAGACAGCTTAGCCATCTCACCTAGTTAGGTTTAGGAGCACTATTGACGCTAACTTGACTAACGACTCACGTCATCACCATGTGACCAATGACTTACAAGACTAGCGTGTGAAAAACAAGTCACGTGAATAACGACTATAGACTGTATATAAGAATTGGACGTAGTCATTGTGACGTCATCATTGGTTTGTGAACTGACGTTTTGTAGCCTCGAGTTCGGTGATTTTGCGGCACCATCTTGGATTATGGCTGTCTCCGTGTTGTTTTATTGGAACCCATAAACAGAAGATACCATATTTGGAATGCGAGGAGTGACATAGAAACGCCGTATATGGCTCTGGAAGTGGCAGTGACCTGTCAATCACAGTAGCCCCGCCCTAAAGCATACCCTGTTTTATGGTCTGTTTGACTCTAAATGGACCATAAGTTACTAAATGAACATCATGCTGTATTGAAGAAGACTTTACATTAGAGATTGAGACCATAAACTCATGTTTACAATGTTTACTGAGGTAATAAATTTAGTCAGAAATAGAGTAATTTTCTCATAGACTTCTATACAACCAGAGGAGTCACCCCCTGGTGGTCAGTAGAGAGAATGCAAGTTTTAAGACACTTCCTCATCGACTGCTACCTCATCGGTGCCTGCCAACGACTCACATAACGCGGGTGGGTTGACATTGGAGTTAGTTGAAAGTGTGGTGCATCGTTATGAGATGCAGAGGGGCACCGACCAACCTTTTGTATTTGATGAGTTGAGAGAGAGACCGGGGTTGACTCACGTGGCTACCGAGCAGTGTTGGGCAGCGACACATTGTTGTAATATTATTACTTTCCCCAGTAACCAGTAGTGTAAGGGAGTTCCGAGTAACACTGCGATTTGTTGAGTTGAACTTTGGAAAACTTTCAAGGGAACATGCCTCAGTCACATGTGTGACCGCCAGGAGGGAGAGGAAGAGACAGACCCAGTTCAACTGGATGCAAAAGCATGCATTGCAACCTCAGTTTAATAATTTGCACCTTCAGTTAAAATCTGAAATTCAAATACTGCATTTTGTGACTATTTCACAAACTGTAGTCAGACTGTGTTGGTCTGTTTCTCAAAGGTTACGCTGACCACCATCAACTGTAGGTTATACACTAACTATGGATGAGTACCTCATACAACCCCCTTCAAATCCCTTTAAACCTCTGGCATACAATTATATTTTACACAAACAATGTTCTTCCAACTTAGTGGCAACGGTTTATGTTTGGCCCCTTTCCTGTTGCAACAAGACAACGTCCCATGCTCAAAGAAATGCTCCGTAAAGAAATGTTTTTTTCCCCCGAGGTTGGTAGAAGAACTGGACTGGCCTGCACAGACTAAAGCCTTAAACCTCACCTTCCTCCAACACCTTTGGGATGAACGGTAACACACCAACCCTGGGCCAGACCTGAACACCCAACATCAGTGTTGGACCTCTTCCAAAACCGTAAGCATAAAGACACACAGAGGTGTAGCTTTCTTCAACAATGCAGTTTGCCGTTATTTTCTGTATTTGAGCATTTAGTGATAAAAAAATAACCTTATAGTTTCTGTCCCTCTCTCTGCTTCCCAGTTCACTGAATGTTATTTATTTGTCAGTTCAATCGAAGGATGCAGCAGATTCCACTGTAGCTACCAGAGAGCCCCAATGTGCAGACTGTGAATAGATTTGTTGGGCTGCAACGGCAGTTTTGACCTGATAATAACATCAAATGAGTAATATGAATTAAATCAGTCAGTCAATCGGGCAGTCAGTGATTCAGCGCGCAACTGGATCTATTGATTCATAAAATCCGCATCCCACATATTCTCTCTTTCTCTCTCTCTCTTTCTCTCACTCTTTCACTCACACACACACGCGCGCAGACTCCTCCTTCATCTCCTCTCCTCCTCCTCTCAGTTGGCCCTGTGACTTCTTGCCGGGACGGTATAACAGTAGCCTACCGAGCGAGAGACCAGGCGGTGGATGGAGAAGGGCAGTAGCCGCAGCAGCAGCAGCAGTCGGGCGCGCCGACCGAAGCATGCTCCAGCGCAGTCATGACTTGCTCGGCGTCAGATAGCGAGAAGATCGTGATCAACTGCGGCGGGATCCGACATGAGACCTACCGGAGCACCCTAAAGACGCTGCCGGGTACGCGCTTGTCTTGGCTGACCGAACCCGACGCCTTCAGCAACTTCGACTACGACCCCAAGTCCGACGAGTTCTTCTTCGACCGCCACCCGGCCACCTTCGCCTTCATCCTCAACTACTACCGCACCGGCAAGCTCCACTGCCCCAATGATGTGTGCGGGCCGCTCTTCGAGGAGGAGCTCGCCTTCTGGGGCATCGACGAGACGGACGTGGAGGCGTGCTGCTGGATGAACTACCGGCAGCACCGCGACGCCGAAGAAGCCCTGGACAGCTTCGAGACCCCCGAGCCGGACGCGCCGGAGGACGACCCGGCGCTCACCGGCGGGGCGGACGGCGACCTTAAGCGGCTGTGCATGCAGGAGGACGGCCGCAGGTCGACGAGGTGGGAAGTGTGGCGGCCCTACATGTGGGCGCTGTTCGAGGACCCGTACTCCTCCAAATACGCGCGGGTGAGTGGCCGGACAAGTGTCCGTTCTGTCCCCCCCCCCTCGCTTTCCCGTTTCTCCGTGCCTTTACTGTTAAAGGACTTCGCTCCTTCTTTATTTTTCCTTTCTTTGCGCTGCGCTCGCATGCGGCAGTTTTTGGCCACTGCGCATTGTTGCGCGTAAAGTGACCCTCTAAAAGTGTTTTGGAGGGATGGAGGGATGTCAAATTCACTGCAGTGTTTTTTCCCTTCCTCTCACATGTCTCACCTCCCCTCCTCTCCTCTCCTCTGCTCCGCTGAGGTACCCCCTCCGCTGCTCTCTTTTTAATCTCCCATTGATATCATCGTGTGAAGGTTTGACCACCGCTGATGCGTCAGTGCGCATCAGTCCAGCCTTCTCTCTGTCTCTCTCTCCATCCAGTGTCTACATGTGTGTGTGCCAAATGATTTCTCCTGCAAAATACTGGCACATATTTAACATGATTTAAATACCCTGATTTGGGGTCCAGTTCTCTGCACCATCAGTCCACATGTGGTCCAATAATCTACTTAATCAAGTAAATCCACGGGGAAATCCAAAGGTTGGTGGGTAGTCCTGCCTCCATGTGTCTGCTCTTTCTCACATATGCTATAGATGAAACAAAACTAATGCGTCCACCTCACACTGCATCCGATAGCATGCTGGGTGGTTTGTGCATGTGCATGTGTGTGTGTTACTCCTTTACTCATGAGTATGCTGGAAGGTTACCAGTACCTGAGTGTCTGGATGTGTCTGTTTGAGTAGATAATGGTGCAAACACTGTTGCGCCACAAAACACTGCTCTTCCTCTAGCATTTGCCAGTTTGTTGCTTTACTTTTCTGGTGAGCACGCATCCCATTAGTGTAGACTGGAGAACGACATGAACGAATCACATCTCACTGATGTATTAGTAGTTAACATATGTAGAGCTGGTTTGAATCTGGCACTACACTGCTACAGTACAGATAGTGAATCCTTTATGGCTCCAAAAAAAAGAAAGAGGTCCAGTAGAAATGCAGGACATAGTGTACCCTTCATGTAGTAAAGTGGAGGGTAAGGGTCAGGGTGGTGTATTGGCGTTAGCGAGTACCACTTTACTGCGATAAACTGGAGGTTGGTGTTAATCCGACGGTTGAAGGGTAGCCAATGCACACCCTTGGCTTCTCCTAGATTATTTAAAATGTGCGACGTGGAGGGGGAACATTGGTGCAGAGTTGGTGGAGTCGCAGTGTGTGATGACGCAGGGGTTCAGGGGTAGAACACGGGTGACGGGGGACGGAGTCAGATCCACCAATGGCGATGACTCTCTCAGGATCAGGGTAAATCCAGGCTTCCATGTAGATGCACTGATTCCCAACTGTTTCAGTTCCGATACCGATACCTGGTCTTTGGGTATCGGCCGATACCGAGTTAATAAGCTGTGTGCCTCACTGTGTGGAAGTGACTGGGATCATTCTTTGCATCAGGCTTGACTCAAACATTGCTTTTGTAAAAAAAGTGTAGAATTGGTTAAAACTTGTATTTATAGGAATTGAGATTCCAGTATATTGCTCCACCTGTGCGGTCCGTCCTCCACCTCTCACCCTTCGTCTCCCTCTTCTTTCCCCTGCTTAATTGTTGCTGAAAATCTATGGCCATCTGCAGAAACAGAGGCCAGTGCTGCTGACCAGGATCAGTGTCAGTTGGACATACGCACAGAGGCATATTTGATAGGGCTGTCCTCGACCAAATAAATGATTAGTCGACTAACACTTATACAATTTTGCCGACTAATCGATTCGCTGATTTACTCGACAGATCTGTAAAACTAGATTTCTCCACAAAAAAATCACACAAAAGAGCCACTTTAAATCTTTTGTTTACCATCCACTAAAGAAACCAAAGAGACCAAATGATTAGTCAGCTAATTGACTGTAAGCTTACAGCCCTGCTATTGACTTAGTCTCTGTGACTTAAGGTGGAAACACATACACACACACGCACACACACACACACACACACACACACACATCACCGTTTGCCCACTGTACAAGTACAAGAACATGTGGTCTAGAGAAACATGTTCCAGCCCATTATCCCCAAAAAATTATGTCCAAATTAAATGATTCTGCACCTCGCAATTTGTGCCCAATGCCAACGTTCCAATGCCAATCGTGTTAGTGCAGGAAGTAGTTTGCCCTTTAATAAGTACCAAGGTGGAAAGTAAGCACGTGTGTGAATGTGTAACATGTCTGAATTCCATGCAGAGGCGCAACAAAACCTGCAATTTACTTTGGCATTTTTATGAACCGTAACCGCAATCTTTTTCTCTAATTCATTCAATGGAAACCTTGCAGACTTGCAGACGATCGGAGCGCCGGGTGCTAGTGTTGTAGAGGGAGGCCGGCCGCCGCTCATCTGCACGTACTGCCAGAACGTTAGCAAAGTAGCAACAATGTTAACCAAAGCACATTTTGCTCTCGTCCAGCATTTGTAGCAGTTCTACCTACGAATAATAATGCGCCGTAATTTGTAGATATCCCAGGATTTTTTTCAGTATGTTATTAACTTAAGTACTTCAGTAAAGGCACTCCCGTGGTAACCTAAGCGATGATCTATTCCCAAACCTACTAGTTTTGTTGATTTTCCTGTGAAGACAGAAGTTTATTCTGAAAAGACCGTATGCGGGAAAATGCACGAAAAATGAGGAGTGACTCTTCTTATGATATCATACTCACCGTTGTATGAGGATACGTATGAGGATTTATTAAAAATCTCATTGTGTAAATATTCTTGAAAGCAAAAAGGACGCAATATCGTTATCGAGGTATTTGGTCAAACAGATTGCGGTACTTGGTGTTCTCCGTAGGACCCAGCAATAGAGGTGTCGGTAGTTGCCGGTAGGTCTGTGGCATGTCAGCTGGGATGCAGGACTCCAACATGGGTTGAGAACCACTGGTTTATAGCACATACTATTGCAAGAGTTCGGAGTGTGAACCTGCAGCATTACAGGAGGACGGGCGCTCATTTTCGATGGGGCTGCATCTCCTTGAACAATCTTGCCCTGTGCAGCTGTTTCTCACACATACAATTTGACAAGTCAGAAAATTGAAATGGCAGCCGAACAAGCGATCGAAGAACCAAACGGGGGTGACTGTAAAAAAAACAAAAAAAAACAGACATTAAATGCTGGAGTGGTGTTATGGTGTGTGTGTGTGTGTGTGTGTGTTTGGGGGGGGGGGGCATCAGTATGACAGCTGAGGTGACTTTGAAAGTGTTGCAGTCAATAGTTTTCAGTGCCAGCGCAGGGACATGAAGATAGGTTGGACAAGGGGGGAGGGGGCAGCCAGCTCAGGTAGGCTGAGGTGAGGCGGTCGGCTCGGTTTTAGCTGATGAGTTCGTTGGAGAACGACGAGTGCGATCCTTCTGAGTGGTCCCTCGGCTGAGGAAACATGTCGGATGTTAGAAGGAAAAGAAAATGAATCGCAGGTTCAATTCCGTGCGTCCATTCATTATGCACATATGCAATGTCCTCGCCAAGGTAGCACGGTTTTTCCATCTCTTCCTTTTTTTCTCTCCTGTCCTCTTCTCTTCTTCTCTCCGTCGTCACCACGGACAGCTTGTGCTGCTTTATTACCGCGATTTCAGAGCTGAGTGCTGGATTGCTTATTATCGCTATTCAGACCCCCCCCCCCCCCC